TTTTTTCTTAGCAATCTAAGTTCTATTTTTTCTTTAGACCAAACCAGTTATATATTGAAGTCACATCTTAAAATACCTTGCCCTTAACACCACTTTGTCACCGTTAATGTTACAAGAATGTCCACTTGCCAAAAGTAAATTACGTTTTCCTTGACTTTTAAAGTAATCACCGCTTTAGAAACAGCAAAGATAGATTTAGGCACTTAGGGAGGGATCTATTCTATTAATCTGTGAAGGCATGGCTATGACTTACATTACTAAGCAGAGATAAGGGAACCTCCAATATGAGGGGCCAGGATGTAGCTTAGTTGGTAGACAGTTTGCTTAGCATGCATGATCCCTGGTTCCATCCCTAACAGAGCATAAAATAGGTATACATACTGCAATATTAGCATTGCGGAGGATAGAGGCAGGTTCAGGGTCATCCTTAGCTACATAGTGAATTCAAGCCAGCCCAGAGTATACATAATATCCTATGTTAAAAAACAAAACAAACAACAGCCACAGCAACAGCAATGAGAGAGAGAGAGAGAGAGAGAGAGAGAGAGAGAGAGAGAGAGAGAGAGAGAGAGAGAGTGAGGGTGGCTAGAGAGATGGCTCAGTGGTTAAGAGTCTTGGCTGCTCTTCCAAAGGACTCCGTTTTGATTCCTAGCATCCACATGGAAGCTGAAAACTGTCTGTAATTCCAGTCCCAAGGGAATCTGACACCCTCTTCTGGCCTCTATGGACATCAGGCAAGCATGTGGTGAGCAGACACATGCAGACAAAACACACACACACACACACACACACACACACACACACACACACACACACACATAAAATAAAAAAATCTTAAAAAAAGGTTTATACTTCACCTCAACTACAGTTGCCAATGAGCCTGTGAAGAAATCCTGCTAGGACCGACTGGCATTTATTGCTTATCATATTAATAATAATCAAAAGGGAAGCTTCCTAAGCGAAAGGCCCACCTGATGTCACTGCGAAAGCATCAGCTTTATATAGCACCAATGACCACCGATTTAGAGGTGTGTGCCATAACCTAGTTGCAGATGGTAGGCCTTTAACAAGTTTGTTTTATTCCTAATTGCTGGCATTTGCTTAAGTGTTTCCTTAATTCTAATTTATGTTTTTATGTTCTAGTTTGTTTACATAGCCCATAGTTCCCAATCGTCTTTATTTGCTTAAGTGTTTCTTTAATTTTATTTACATTTTTATATACGTTGCTTTGCTTACATAACTCACTGTTTGGAGTGGGCTAGGAATAACCATAAATCCCCATTGCTAATTAGCCTCATCCTCATGACTGATTAGTCAAGATTATGAGCCTAGAAGGAGGGCAGGAAGGAGGTCTAACAGTGACTCAGAGGATCCTTGAATTTTAGAGCTGGAAGGAATCTGAGAGCTTACAGCATCTTTCAGATAAAATTCTGTGAGTTTTACATCCTCAGCATTGGAGAATCACAAAATGTTGTCTGCTTGCTCTTGCTCCTTTATGCAAAAAAAGGTGTAAGGATTTGGTGACAGTTTGAAAAACAAGTTTAGAGTCGAGAAAATCCAATCAACGATGGCTGTAACTCATAATGAGGGCTTGAAGAATCAGCAACTTGACACACAGAAGAGCAGGGAATATTAATGAACTCAAAGGAGGCTCTTTGGACTTAAGCAGGGTGGATTGTCTGGAACTCCTTCCTCAGCAGCTGTGCAGTTGGTAAGGCTTGTAGCTTGCCTGGCCCGTGAGCTTGGCTGTTAGCGTTGCAGTGGGGAGCATTTAAAAGCACACTCAACATACGAAGGAAAGAACCTGGAACTGAGTAGCCTACTTTATTCCAAGACTCCATCTGGCATTTAAAGAGCTGCTTGTCCTACATTCAACCCTGCAGAGTAACAGCCATTTTTCATTTCCTCACACCCCTATTTTTAGTTTCAGGTAAGACAGCTTATTGAGTCTGAGGAAGGAACATTTAGACTTCAGAACCACCCAGTTAAAGACCTAATCTAGGGCGATCTCCGTGAATCTAAAAATGAGATGATGTTGAACCTCCAGCCTGAGAGAGGAGGTCCAGAGCAACCTCAAGACCCCACCACAGGTGTAGGTCCAGAGTCCAACACCGTTTAAGCCTTTAATCTCTCACGGGCAGAAGTATAATGGATGAAGAGGTGTTACAGGTACGTGAATTGTAGCTGCCAAAGGGGTAAATTGACAAGCGAAACAAACTTGTCTGAGACTAACAGCTCGCTCTCGGCAGATTCTGCACACCTGCCAGAGTAGTCCCCGGATCACCCGGACTTGTAGAGTGTGCAAAGTGCAGTTAGTTTAGAAATTAGTCCTGGACTTCACTTTCAGTGACATTTCCATATGCTACCCTTTCAGGGAAGGGCTCCGTCCATGCGAGATCACAGGCTCCCACTCTCACTGGTCACTCTTTGAGGGACTGCGCAGGGCCCCAGCGCCGGCGCCAACTCCCGGCTCTGCCTTCTGGGTTACTATGGCGACTGCGGGAGGGGCGGGGCTCTGGGACCCTCTTTCCCGGTCTCAGCCCAAGACTTTCGAACGCTCCAATTGGGACAACCCTTTCTTGCCTCTGTCCCGCCTCGTTCGGCGCTGAGAGCGATGCGATTGGCCCCGGGCTCGCGGCCTTGTGCCCAGAGGGTACCACCTCTTGTCAGGAAGAGCGGGAAAGTGTTCCAGGCACTGTCCGAGGCGTGGAGCTCACCTCACGCAACCGGGGACCACGCGGTTGGCTTTGGGGAGACTATCCCGGCCCCATACACTGCCCGCAAGTCCCCTGCTGTTAAGAACAGGGAAGGAGCAGGAGCCGGGAGGCAACACTTTCGCGGCCGGGGCTGTCCATCTGTGGAGCGCGGGCGCGCCGAGGCGTGGGATTCCCGGGCGCGCTCTCCGGCGCCCCAGAACCGAGGCCGGAGGGGAGGGTCCCAGCCCCGGGGGCGGGGCCAGCGGCGGCGGCGGGAGGCGCAAGGACCAATGAGAGCAGGCTCCGCCCCCGGAGGCGGGGCCCCCGGGGCGCTCCCCCGCCCTCCTCCTCGCCGCTGCCCCTCCCCCCGGGCGCCGGGGCCGCAGTGAGTGAGTGGCACTGGCAGCCTGTCAATCCCTCAGCCGAGCGGCCTCCGAGCCCCGGTCCGCGGCGGCTGCTGGCTGGGTGCGCGGCTCCGGAGGTGGCGGCGGCGACTTCTCCCGCCTCATCAATCTGCTGTCCGCCCGGCGTGCGGCCCGCCGGGGCCCTCCACCGGGCTCCGCGCCCCCGCCGCGTCGACCCACCCGCTCCCAAACTTTCCTCCTCCGCCCCTCTCGCTCCCCGCGGCCCGCCCGTCGGCCTCCTCCTCCTCCTCCTCCTCCTCCTCCGCCGCCGCCGCCGCCGCCGCTCCCTCCCCCGGGGCCGCCGGTGCTCCGATCCCGCCCGGCTGAGGCGGCGGCGGCGGCGGCGGCGGGCGGCTGAGGGAGGGGACCGTCCATGCTGGCGCGGGCGGCGGCGGCCGCGGCGTCCCGGCAACTCGGCTGGCGCTGAGGACCAAGTTGCGAGGGGCCGCCCGGCGCGGCGCGGGGCGCTGAGGAGGCGGCGCGGCGGCCGCGTGAGGGCAGCGGGCACCGCCGCCTCCGCCTCCGCCAGCGCCGGCGAGCGCGCCGCTTCCGCCCGCCGCTGTCCTCAGTCTCCGCCGCGGCGGAAGCCGGAGCCGGACGCCGGTCCGCGTCCCCTCAGTCGCGGGGCCTCGCCGGGCCGGGCCGCCCCCTCCCGCGCGGGCGGGGAGCGCGCGGCCGCCTCCCCCTCCCCCTCCCCCTCTTTCTTCTCCTCCCTCGCCGCCGCCGCCGCCGCCGCCGCCGCCGCCTCAGCCTTCGCCTCCTCCGCCGCCGCCCGCTCCCGCCCGCGCGCGGCGGGATGGACGATCAATCCAGGATGCTGCAGACTCTGGCCGGGGTGAACCTAGCCGGCCACTCGGTCCAGGGGGGCATGGCTCTGCCGCCTCCCCCTCACGGCCACGAAGGGGCGGACGGCGACGGCAGGAAGCAGGACATCGGCGACATCCTCCACCAGATCATGACCATCACCGACCAGAGCTTGGACGAGGCGCAAGCAAAGTTGGTGTCGTCTCATTAAGCATCTTTTGTGTGTGTACGGGAGCCGGGCTCGGGTCCCGGGTGGCTCCCTGGACCGGGGCCTCAGTCGCGGGCGGGAACTTTCTCCGCCGGCCCGGGCCTGCCGGGCACTCGCCGTGTCCCACACCGCGCGGGAAAGTTGCTCGCCGGGCTCGGGACAGCCTCGGTCCGTGCTTCGTCCGTGCCCTGCTGCCCGGCCCCCTCCTCGGATTTAAACCTCCCGCCCGGACTCGGTTGCACTCCGCGTCCCAGCCGTGCCCCGGGCCGTGCCGCAGAGAAGTGCAACTTTCTCCGCCGGCCCAGACTCCCGGCGTCCACTCCCCTCTGCCGGTCCGGGGTGACCGGCTCTTCCCCCGCAGGTCCCGGTGCGGAGCACCAAGTTCTCTAGGAGGGAGGGCCGCTTTGCAAACTTTGCGGAGCTGTCATCCGCCGATTAGCCGCCGGCGGCCGGCCTCCGCGCCCGCTCCCCCTGCGGAGCTCGGGCGCGGGGTTCCCCTCGGCGCCCGTCTGGTCCCTGGGGTCCCCGCCGCGTCCCCCGGAGCGGAGCCCCCCGCACGGGTCGCTTCTGCGTTCGCCGAGGCTGCTGACGGCCCTGCAGATGGGTCGCGCTGCTTTCGGGCTGGAGCTCTCTCCAGCTTGCCTCCAATCGCGAACTAGTCAACTTGAGTTTTTGTTGACTTCCCGTGCTTCAAAAGAGCTTTCCCACACCGGGGTCCGGTTTTAAATCTTGGGTCTAACTTAGGAAGGCGCCATATTATTCCTATAGGTGATGCTAATACCTTTGTGTTTTGCTATTTGTTTTTTAGGAAACATGCTCTGAACTGTCACAGAATGAAACCGGCGCTCTTCAGCGTCTTGTGTGAGATCAAAGAGAAAACAGGTAAGCTGCTGCCCGCAGTGGGCCTGGAGGCCCCTGAGGTGGGGTCAGATCTACTCCTTCGACTCTCCAGTTGAGAGCTGCTGCTTTTGGGCACCGCCATCTTTGATCATTCTCTGCTTCCCACCTCCTGATCTTGAGAAAAAACTGCAATAAATCTGGAGTCTATTTCTCAATTCTGCTTTGGTGCAAAATGAAGTGTATGTGCGAATGGGGCTGGGTCGCAGTTCCTTAGGCGGTAGCCCCTGGCTGCAGTCAGGGAGGGGGCTCTAGCCATCTGCCTTCTCCTATCTCTTTTTGCCTTGTTTGTGTAGCAGTTTTTAAAAGGAGCGATGGGAGACTGCCAGGGACCAGGTGCCCGGGAGAGGCATCACCAGAACTTTGTTTTACTTAGTCAGCCTTAAGCTTTGGCTCTACTGGTAGAAGACACAGCTGAACAGACCGCAGTAGCATGTCAGATTTAGTGTTTTAGGTGGGGAGATTACTTTTAAGAATCCAGGAAGGAAAATGACGTGCGTTGGCATATACAGTGTATCACACCTATTAGTACTTAGATTAAATTCTATACCTTGCAACTGTTAGACTTGTAACTGAGTTTCAGTATATAAAGAAAAATGTCCACAGATGCAGACGAAACAATTTTGATGTTTAAGGTAGGAGTAGATGAGAAGATGATAGGTTTTGCAGACGTGCTAGAATGAAAATTGAAGGTACATTATTAGGGAAATATTTGGTAGTTCATTTTAGTTTAACTTTCTTGTCAGACTTTTTCTATTGAAGGTATTTTTACTTGTGGCTTAATGGTAAAGCTAACGTAGAAGTAGGGATATAATTCACATGTTTTAGTTTGTGTTTAGTTATCTTTCCTATATGACAAGCAACTCCCTTAATCAAGCTTTACCATTGATTGATTGATTGTATGTTTTGGGTGTATTGCTTTTTAAAGTTGCCCTTTTGTAAGTTAAGGAAAGAAGAAAAAGTCAAGTCCAGTATATTGCATTTTCCAACTGATGCTCTTTCAATGGTTAAATGTTTGACTGTCCTTAAATTGAGTTTATAAATAATTGCACACTGCCTGGAATTGTTAGGCTGGTAGTTGAGTTCTACTCTGTTTAAACAGGTACTATTCATATTCCTAAAAGTGATATGATGGCAGAGAAGATGATGGTTCTCTTAATGTATGTATACTAAACCATAATTACTAGTGAATATTGAAAACCTTATTTGCTTTTCATTCATGCCATGGATTTTTTTATGATAATTTTTTGGTGATACACTTTACATTCTGAAAACTACAGTTATTTTAAATTATTGACTTATTGTATGTTGATTTTTTTAGCTACTTTTATTGTGCCTAGTGATTTAAGATTATAGATGATTGTAATCTAACTATAAAGACACCCAGCATTGAATCTTGAAGGCTTTCAACTTGAGAGAATAAAAGTATATAATTCTTAGTACATTATGTTGTTTAATTTCTGAGGGTTTTCTTGCTATCAGGGCTACACTCCAGTTTGTGCTAACAGCTGCGCACTGGCACTGGGGTATTGACTGTGTTGTGAATGTTAAGATGGATCAACTTTATGTGGCACTACATTGCTAAAGAGAGGGAATTGATACTCCTCTCTAGCAAGAACCCCTTCTTACGATTTGTACTGATTTATTTTTTGCCCCTTTAAAGTTTTGGCCTACCCATACAGAACCATGTAGCATTTCGTGCTTGGACTCTTATCAGCAGGAGAAATTCAATTAAGAAGTGTTAGTCTTCTAGTTGCTTATTTGCACAGGACTTAGTTACACCGTTCTGCAAGGAAAGCGTAGTCAACGGCATGTCAAAGGTGAGTTAAGAAAAAGAAACAAGTCTTTTCAGAGTCTGTGATGATAGGCAGGGAGCTTTGGTAGCGCTGTTGCTGTTTAAGAAGCAGGGGAGAGCAGACAAAAGAAATTTCTATGTTTTGAAAATTGTTTCTGGGGCTTTCAGTGATAACTTGTAAATTAGATCCTCTTTTTGTGCATTGGCCTGCGACCCAAGTTTGCAGGTTATCTCTTTTATAAAAAGCCAGCAGCCGACAGAGTGAAGGCGGCTGTCTGGGCTGAGGCACCCCCCTGCCAGCCTTTCTGAGCTGGAGAGGGATGGGATTTAAGTACTGAGTGATTGATGGGGGTGAAGCTCTCTTTCTCTGCTCCTTTCTCCCCTACCATCCACAGCTCTGCCTCATGCTCCCAAACCAGTTTTAGAAGGAGACAGGATCGCTAGACTCAGAGCCCTCAATTTGAAATAAAACAGCTGTGTAGACATTAGTGTTACCAAAGCAGGGAAAGCTGGGCAGCACATTCCAGGGCCTATCCCCCATCTGCCTTTGCAGTCCTGCTTTAGAAACATTATGAACTTAGAGAGTAAGTGTTAGGGAATACACATATACTACTTAATACTTTTTCTTTAAATCATCTTACTAATTTATTATCATAACATCTAGAGATTAATTATCTAGAGAAAGTTCATCTAGTCGTTTGTGAATATAAACCAGAAATATGTGATGACTATTCTGCATAATGAATGGGAGGGGCCGACAAGTGGGGAACTAGAGGGCTGGGTGGGTGGGAACTGCCACTTCAGTGCTTGTTTTTTTTGTTTGTTTCTCTTTTAAAATAAGACAAAATCATTTAAAATTTTTCATGTATTTGTAGAACTGCCAGTAGATTTTGAGGTTTCTGATCAGGCCGTGAATACTGCCAGTTTTGATGTACACAGGGGACTTAGTTTGGAAAACATCTTATTTCTCCCCTACCAAATATGAAGAGGTATTCTTTTCCCCTTATGACAGATAAATGGACAATCTGCCACAATTATATTATTTTCTTGTTCAGAGTTAAGAAAAGTATACTTTTACTATAAGATGGTTGCTTTTTTTAAAAAAATATATTCTATTGTAAAATTTATCGTGTAGTTATTTTAGGGCAGAAACATTTTTCATTGTTGAATTGTGACATTTATACATTTTAGAAGCAACTAAAAAGTTACAGGCTTTAAAATCAAGATATGTATCTGTTTTAAACTATGTAAGCAAGAGAAATAGTAGTTGATGGGCTAGGATTTTCTTTAGGATGATGAAGTCATATGTTATCATCCATCACTTATTAAATATCTCTAATGCAGTGAGGCCTGCTCATCTTCATTCTTCTATTGGTACATTTTCTTACCTATTTTTGACTTCCTTAATCTTGACCGTGAAGTGTTTCTTTTGTGAAACAATGTATCTTCAAAAATCTGCCTTTTTTACAAGACCCCTTAATTATGGGAATTTAAATGAAGGAAACATTTTTTCCAAGGAAATATTTTTAATGTATATTAACCTAGCAATTTAGTATATAATCTGAAACATAGAATTGTAAAAAAAAATAGTGTATATTTTAAAAACCAGCATAACCTTTCCCTTTTACAATGCTAGGTTAAAATATACATTGTTGATAGCTGCCAACCAAACTGATTTATTGCCATACAAACCCTAAATAGTGTTCATTTACTAGTAATGTCTAATGGCAGACGTGGTGGTTTGCCAGATTTGTAGGCTTTGTGAGGCTTATAAGCAGGACTGACTTGGGAAGATCATAAAACTTAATGAACTTCTCTACTGCAGGAGGTGTCCGCAGGGGAAGAGAAAGGCCTGCTTGGCTGGTTGGACTGCTTGAAGGATTTTTTAATGTTTGAGAAGAAAATGACTATCAAAATGCTATACTTTTAAAATAATCCATCTTGAAAAAGTCATAAGAATTTTAGATATCAGAACTAGGACAAGAATGTAGTTTGCACATGAGTTTTGTACCCATTTAGTGTATGATGGATTAAACCTTTTATCTTTATTGCTAAAAGTGTGAGTAGCTTTCAGAGGACAGGGCAGTACTCTTAGTTAACCCTTCCATTTAATTCTTACCTTACATTTTTAGTGTTTCATTTGCATCTTTTTCTGGCCTGTTCTTTTTTAAAACTTTCATATAAGAATTTGCTACATTTTTTATTGTACAGTGCTGTTTTTCATTTAATTTTCAATGTATAAAAAATCAGATCAATCAAGTAAACATTTAGCAAAGAAATAAGAAAATTGTTATCTTTGAGTCTCAATGGTTCTGTATTTACTGTATATTTTGTTGATCTTGCACTATATCCAGTATAGTTAACATTTGCTCTAAAGTTTTGAAAACAAATGCTTTATTACACATATGTATAATGTTTCTGTTTCAATGAGACTATTTTCTAGCTTTTAAGAGCTTTTTATTATGGACAACAACTCTCTCTCTTACTATATATGTATATATATATATATATATATATATATATATAAAAACAATAATATATATGTAGAAAGAAGAGAATTTTGAACATTGTTTGCCTTCAACAATGGCAACAATTGGCCAATTTTGTTTTCTCTATTACTTTTGCCCTCCTAGAATTTTTGTTGATTCTGATAGTAATAGGCCTTTAATAGTGCAAATTTTATATCAATTTTAGATAGACATTATGGTTTGTTTACACTGGGAATATTGAATGATTGAACAGGAAAATACAAAGTCAATGTATGTTAGAAATGTCATAAATTATATTGCTTTATCAATATATTTTCCTTAAAGCCATTTAAGAATATTTTGTCAATTTTTTTCTCTTTGTAGATTTATATTGTTTGCTGGAGATTGTGTAGGAAGTTTTGAAGCCTGTAAGAGAATGACATATGTCTGACTTTTCCTCTTCCTCTTTCGTTCTAAAACAGTAATACAATCTGTTGGTAGAAAACCTGGACAAATTGTCATTGCCAAGCTGTTGTAGAACTTTCTGGTCTGAAGTATCATGCAGATATACCTTTAAAATGGGATGATCTTTTCTAGCCTTTTTTTCTTTTCAATAAAAGTATATTGAAGCCTGTTGTCAATACTAACTTGATCTGTGCAAGTAATTCTTTTGTGCCTTAGTTTTATTTTTAGTCAGCCTCATTACAGATTTGTGTGGTTTTGATATTTTATTTAGGACTTTACCATGTCATTTTTATTAATTTACATAGCTTTATTCTAAATCAGAAGTATATTACTATACTGGTAATGGAGGCCCCAACTTGCCTCCAAAACACACAAATCCACCCATTTTTTTATAACATAAAACTACATTTTTTTCATACTGGTGATTTTTCTTTAATTAATTTTGCTTGTAGTTTTAGATTTTTAGTTTATAAATTTTATAATCCAAAGCAAGATTTTAGTTAACATCTTACTTAGCTTATGTGTATTTTGGTACTGTATAGGGCATGCTGTAGGATGAAATTATATTTTATATAAAGTGGGTGTCTAAGAATTGAAACTGAATTTTCTGAACCACGTAAGTCATCACTTTGTTTTATATGGATACCATATAGTATTTATTCAAAATAAATACTTGACACATCAGCACTAACATATCAAGTTAAATAAGGATTTAGACTATTTTTCCCATATTCAGGTATATGTGAAGAATTTTTAGATCCATTTTATTTCAGTATTGACACTGTGAGAATAATGTTTTATTTGTTTTCTCAGCAGGCCTGTGCTTTAGCCATTTCTCAGAGTGATGAGCATGAGTGAGGCAGTAACTGACAAAGCTGCACGGCTCCCTCCCATGCTGACCTTTTCCAAGTAGTTGCTCGACTTTTATGGGCCATTCCAGCCTGGAAGTGTGAGGAGACACTCATTTACATCACAGTGTATAGTATAGTGTAAATCAGTGACTTTTTTAGGTCTGTTTACCACAGTTTCTTTTCTTTCCAAACGTATTGATGTTAATGAAACAAACTGCTATTATAGCTAGGTGATAGTGCTATATTTAGCAAATAAATTAAAAAGTAATGCTTGAGGGAGCCACTGAGAAAAATAAGACATCTTTTATGCTTTCAGACATAGAACATATTAGAAAACAAATTTCAGTCTTAAACTCTTGATTTTAACAATGCTCTTTGTAAGCAGACTTTCAGTTAGAATCCCTTATTACCTTTTTCATAGACATGACATAAACATAGGATGGCTATAGTTTTTAGTGTAAAGTGTGGCTTGCTTGTACACTGTATGAATAAAGTATGATATCTAGCAAAGAAGTTAATTCGAAAGAATGTGTTAAATTGAATAAACATAGCAATTTTTTTTATTTACTCTACACATAGTAACAATTGCTACTGAAACAAAGTAATTATGGATAAACATACTTGTTTAAAGTTTTATATTTGTTTTCTTTCAGCTTAAGTATTTTAAAAGTGATGAGCTGTTTTGAGGACTAGCCCTTTTGGTGTGATCATATTAATGAGTTTTTGGTATACAGTGTAGTCCTTTTAATGCTGATGATTTCTCCTGATGTTTAAACCATTATTTAGGAGATGCCAGCATATGTTAGTGCAAAATGATTTTGTTTTGTTTTGTTTTATGTGGTACATCAGTTTTCAAAGCATATTTCTTAGGCATCAGCATCCAGCAGGTGGCTTTTTACATTAAAAAATTCATAAATTTTAAAATCCCATAAAATTTTATTTCAAATTCAAATTAACTGATTGAGAATGTCAACATTTCCAGTGTCTCTATATTAACATTTATAATAGAACAAATGGTTGCATATAGGAATTATCTGCAGCATAATCTAAATTAAGATTCTAAACAGGCATTACAGATGCTGGTAACTTTGGCAATTATCATTTTGTTTGGTGAACAGTAGTAAAACAGTGTGCGGTAAAAGTGTTTAGAGAGAGAGGATAAATAAATTGAACAGTTTTGCAATGCAAAGTGGTTTGTGGTGTTTTTGAGGATTTCTTGGCTCTCTCTTAACTGCTATTGTGAGCCTGGAGCAGATTTCCCCATTGCTAATGCCCTAGAAGTATTAATTCACTTTGATATGCTAATTAGAGGGCATTATGCAAGAAATGAGATTAAGTGGCAGCATGAAGCCATTTGCCTGTCAGTAAATTGAGAGCTTTAGCATCAGGAGGAGCTTTGTTTTTTTTTTTTTTTTTTGGTATGTGTTTTGTTTTTTCTTTTTTTTCTGCCCCCCTCCCAGTTTCTCTTGGTTTTGCATATAAATAAAACTGATTGAAAGCTCTGGAGAAGGCTCTGGAACATTGGGCTCCCTCTCCCGCCATGATTAAATGTAATATGAAATTTTCCTTTTACATTCTGTGTGAAATTAAGAATTTGGTCATTTAATTTCTTTTTCCTGAAATGACTTTAGCAACATCACTAGTGAATTGTTATCACTTACTTATTTACCTCTTTGTAAGTGTAAACATTGTGTACCAGTGTCAGCACTAAACTGAATTTCACAAGAATGTCTACTTGGGAGAGAAGAAAGAAGCTGGTGAATGGGCTTCAAGAAACTATATTAAATGGACATTAAGATTTTGACTTGAATTCATGGAAGTTGAACCAATAAAATTAATTAGTGGTTAAATTGCCCTTTTCAACACAACCTGTGGAATTTATATTTTATTGTGTGTTGACATGTAAGATTGC